TTTAAACAATGTTTCTTTCATGTGAATCTAACAACACTTCATTATACTCTTTACGAATTCACTGATGTAATATTTTTTCTGCATCCTTTGTGTATATTCTCACATTATAAGAAATTTTCACTGTTCTCCTTTATATGGATTTTTCGTTAATTTTCTAAGAAAATTTTCTAAGAAATTTCAAAATAGCAGGAAGTTAAAAATATCAAGAACATAAACTACAAATGCTACAAAGGATTTCTCATTCTCACAGTTCTCCGTGCTTAATAACTTGGTGCAGTTTTGTTCAGCTGCACAATTTATACAGTTCTGTGATATAGAAAAGCAGATAACTTCTAGAGTGATTCGAAGTTTTCTAAGTCAATTTTCTATTAAGACGTTAAAATGTTAAATGTTAAGTATGCTGGAAACAAGATAGCTGAATTCTGATAACAGTACCTGATAATTTTTGTCTTGTTCTCACTCTAGTCGTAATGTTTCACTGGCACCCGTGGAAACAAGATTAGGTTCTAGGCTTGTAAAGACAGGTAAAAATTGAGCACATTTTATTGCTGTTGATACTTGGGTGAGTTTTAGAGGGATTTTTTGTACCCTAATACCTTTCTCAAGGTCAACAAATCTTTTCTTTTACTCATTAAATTTGTCCATTAGAGAGGTGACTATAGGCTCTTCCTCCCTCTGCGCTACTGTCTTGTCACAGTGTCAATGCTCCTTGCAGCCGAGTGGTGTAAATGTCCTGTTCATTCTTTGTAGTCCACCACTATCACTCCCAGAGGTATTTCTACCCCTACTAAGAAACTAAGCCATCCGAGAAATTCACTTTTTTGGCTTTCTTCTCCCCAGGACTTTTCTTTGATAGGTGAAAACAACATTGAGTTAATAGTGTCCTTTTCAGGGAGTAGGAAAATATTTTTCCTCATTGAAACAATTTCAGACAAGGAATGGATGGGGTGGAGGCTGAATAGGATGAAGAAGCTATGAACCTTAGCTGATGTGCCTTAGCTTAGTTGTTATTAGGAAAAACAGCAAAGAAATGTGTTTATCCAATTTATAGATAAATAAAATTCCTCCTACCTATAGACTTTGATACCAGAAGGGCAGGGCAATAAAAGGTGGAAGAGCATGCCCACAAATCAGGTTGCTAGAGGCTTGCAGAAAAGGAGATAGATGTGTACAACGAACATAAAATATATTGTAAGTAAGTCACACAGTAAGATCCATCCCTGGTGTAGTTCTCCTGCAGCTAATGGAGTTAAGAAAAAGAGAAATTCTGATAGCTTTTAAAATCTTGCTCATTTTAGATGCTATATACCTGATCATCTTTTTTGATTGCTTTGGTGGGTGCTTTTATACCATGATGGCATACAAAGATGTAAAGAGCAAGAAGAGATTTTTGCACTAGCAGAGGATAGGGACTCTTTCCTGCATTAGCATCTGCCATCTGTGAAATAACACAAGCTTGGATGAGGCTGTTCTTCCACTGCGCAGTGTTCTGAGCATCTTTGCTTTGGGATTTACTCACTTAACAAGCAACTACTTAAATGGATAACCTACCCACTCCCTTCCCTCTTTTCCCCCTCCTCCAGATGTGAACTTACGTATTCTGCTGAGAGAGGTCTGAAAACTCCTTAAATTTTATTATTGCTTCAAGACAGTCTCTCTCTCCCCCTCTCTCTCTCTCTTTTTCCCTCTACAGTCTGTAAATTCTCTTCCCTTTATTTTGCTTTTAATAATCCTTATCCTCAAAGTATGAAACAAAACTTGACTTGTGTATTAAATGATATGAAATTAATGGTCTGGATTTCTAGTCTTACATTTTAAATTGGCAGATTTTTTTTGCTTCTTTTTTTTTTCTCCACAAAATATATTGAAAAGTAAATCCTTTCACCAAACAAAACAAAACAAAAAACAAACAAACAAACACAAAAAGCAGAGTTCTTTGAAGCAGAAAGCTTCCCCATTCTGCCTAATGGATAAAAGTGCAATGGTTTATAAAGTGTTTGACCAGACATGTAAAAAAAGCTCTTAGCTAAAGCTAAGGATCCTCTGCAAATTTTGTCTTAGCCAGGGGAATTCTGCAGATCAGTTTGGTAATAGCTCAGTGAGACACTGCAGGTGGGCAAGCTGCCTGACAAATGCAGCGTGCTGGAAATGTTAGCAATTCCAGGCACTTTATCGTATGCCTAAAACTAAATTATCAGCTGTTTCTAAACAGCCATTGCTTATATCAGCTGTGACTGAAATTTATAACTCTCCCACTTGAATTCAGCTCCTATTGCCAAATCTGAGGAATACTGTTGAGTCATGGGCTTTTTTTGTAAGTCACTAAGGAACAAACAGAACAAAGAGAGGACAAGGGTTTGTTTTGGTGATTTGCATATCAATCTTATCCTTCCTGGAAATCAGCCTCACATGGCAAGAATAAGAAAACAATTTTGCTAGAGATTACTGTATATTAATTGGATGTTAAATATAAAGACATGGAGGGTAACATCTGCTAAGGAACAGTGGTGGTTTCAAAAATGGCAGGTGATTTAGCTACATGTCCTCCATCAAAATTAATACATCTCAAAAAAATGTGTTAGGCCTCCTTTTCCTTTTCTTCTTTCCTTGCATACGTAGTGAAGTAACTTGGGAAAGTGGTTATGGATCAACCTCTCTCCTGGTTGCCCTCTCTTGAAAAATCTCCAGTCCTCTAGTCTGTGCTGTGCCACAGTAATTTGTAATTGGGTAATTCTTTATCAAATCCTCTGCACTCACAAGCTCACTAAGAAAACCACATCTTTTGAGATAAGCCATTTTGCATGTAGGCAATAAAGAGGCTAGATCATGGAGCAATTAACGCATATAGAGATTACATCCTATATTACTGACATGGCTTTTCTGGGTATTTTTCAGTTGGGTCAAACACTCATTGCCCAGCCACAGAACGTGCATACAGAATTTGAAAATGAGAAGAGCTTTATAGAAGACTAATGTGGGGCCAAAACTGGATTTATTTTGGAAAGCCGGTTGCTGCCTTAGCTACTAATGTACCCTCTACTGCTTCAGAATTAAGAAACAAATTTTTTTTAAAAAGACTTATTTTAGTAGTGTAACTTAGTGATTTCAACTAAAAGAAATAGAGGTTTCTATTCAAAAATCCTTGAGTTGGAGGGCCTGTTTTATGTCAGGTTGGATTTTGAGGTCTAAATATTACTTGTTTGTGTCTTTTTTTTTTTCTTGTATAACGCAATTTAGCCAAGAATCTCAGAATAACAAAGTAAAACTCCAAGCAAAATCTGTGAGGCACTTCCTACCTATAGGCTGCTGGCATATGCTAAGGCCTCAGTGATACTGCTTCCACAATAATTATGCTCATATTCATTAAGATATATACTAGGAATGATAAATAGTGGTATATAGAAAACCCTACTGTGCAGCAAAAGAAATGTTAAGTAGATACTCTCAGAGAAGCCTTCTCTGCTAGTTAGGCATACCCAAAAGATGCCTCTCTTCTTTGATCAAGATGTGGATTTCCTGCTTAATTAATATGCACAGGGAAGCTGAATTGCTATGATGAAGCCATCTTGAAGCCATCTTTTCAGATATTCTGACACTGACATTTTTTTCCTTTTTTTTTTTTTTTCACTTTCTGTTCCCCTGAAGTCAAATCTATCTAGCACACTAGTTCAGGGGAAAATAAAATAGCGTTTTATTCATCGTTTCTTATCATATTCGCCCTAGGTAATTTTGTAGGGAACTTATCTGCATAGTCCCAGCTATGTAAGGCGTATTCCTTTAACCAGGTCATTTACTTTTCTTGTGCCAGCCTCTAAATGGGGAAGAAGGTGGCAAGGTCTGGCTTCAAGGGTTGCCTTGCTTTGTCTCGTCTTCTCCAATTTTACTACCCTCTATAGTTTTATGTTCTGCAATACAGTAAAATTGAGTTGAATTCAGGTTTCTTGAGTATTCTGACTAAATAAAAAGTAAATTTGTGTACAAGTGTGATTGGGAAGGAACCATTGGACCTCTTGGATATATATTGGAGAAGAGTGCAAAGACTGTAGAAGTACCCCCAATATAACACTTTGTTAAAGGCTTTATATTGAGAAATTAACTTTCTACTCAGACCAATAGAACAATCATCACGTCCCAACCTGAGAGCTTTAGAAGAATTCACACTGTACCTAAACAGGAGATAAATTCAATGGTAATGAAAGGTGACTGTATCTTCTAATACCTGTGTGTTGTTTTTCAACTGGGAATAAACATGCTATGTTGTAAACTGTGATTTGTACATTGGTAACGCACAACTGTGTGTACCTTTAGAGAGAGATGCATCATCATTCCTTCTAAGCTGGAATTGGATTTGAATGAAAAACCCACAACTTAACAATATCGAACTTTTCTGAATATTCAGTAGGTGTTTGTCCTCAGTCTTTTGGATTTATGCAGACATAAAGTCTCACTGAAAATCTTGAATTCAGATTGACCTGATAAGAGAGGAAGGATATATATACATACATGTAATGTTTCATTTTGGTCATTTTTATTCACAAACATAATGTCAATAAATGATACCCCATGTGCTGAACAGTGCTGGGCTGATCTCCAGTATATATCTATATATATCTATATATATATAGATACATATATATCTATATGTATCTATAATCTACCTTTCTATATATGCAGGCATGTGCATACACAAATATATACACTTACACTTATTTATGTCAGTTCTGTACAACAAATCCAAATTTCATGAATTCTAGACTATTTAATTTTTCAACAAAAGGATTACCTGAATGATTTCATATGATTGGAGAAGTTCTACTGTAAATATTAGAATACTTATATGAAAAATAAAACTTTTCCCGCTCTATTTTTATTAAAGGAAAACCACTGCAGAAGGATAAAAATCCTAGGAGACTGTTATTACTGTGTATCCGGACTGACCCAACCCAAAACAGATCATGCCCACTGCTGTGTTGAAATGGGACTGGATATGATTGACACCATCACGTAAGTATTCCCTGTGGTAAGCCCGGGCACAAGTGCTTCTATGTGCCATTTGGGGGGTGTGTTTTTGGAGAAATGGCAGCGTCTGCTGGCACTGCCCAGCTAGCCATTCACACTGCTAAATTCAGGTCACAGGATGCTTTTTTTGTGCGGGGTCACTGATTTTCCACTGCATTTAATCACTGTGAGGCAAAAGTGTACAAGCATTAGTATGTAGAGATACGTGAATGTACAGACTAAGAGATAAAAAATAGGAAATCACGATATATTCGTATTGTCATTTTGCCACTAAGAAGAGAGTTTAATTTCTTGTCTTGCAGAGATAAGTGCTGTTCATCATGTACACCAGTATGTAAATTGAAAGCCAGCCTTGCTGCATGCTTGTTGTTTGTATTTCCCAGAGGATAACTTGCTGATTTCTCCTTTCTGTATGTCATTTTGAACCTTTCTTTTGCTTTTCAGTAATGCAATGTGAAATTCACTTTGCTGATGAGAGGAATTTTTTAATGCTCAAGAGCTCTGCACTGATTATCCCTTTAGCAAAGGGAAAGTAGGAATGTGAAAGAACTGTGAATGAGGTGCCTGCTTTCAGTGAGAGTTGGAAACCTATTTCATCACCTAGGAGGGAAGGGATAAGGATGGGAGATTTCTTCACTGCTGTCTTGCTTTGTGCTTGTGCATTTTTGGAGACAGGTTATAGAAAGGAGTGTGCTCACATATTAGTTCTGTATATAAATAAATACTGGTTAGCAAAACACTATTACATTTGGGCTCAACTTTTTTCCGGTGTATCCTGCATAAGTGGCAGTATGCAAGTGTGTCATATCAGGCTGATCTGTAGGGGGAAGTGCTTAGCCATGCTGTTTCCAGCGGCTAATTTTTCCCGTTTTCTGTGATGTTAGCTGGACTGTTGGGAATCAGGAGGTGATTCAAGGTTCTGCTTCCCCTCAATTTTTTTCCATACCATAGATTCCATGTCTTCCATTTGTATTTGAGAATGTGCATGCACACATATACCGATACATTCACAAAACAGTTGATTTTCAGAATCAAGACCATCCTTCTTTGTGGAGAAGTTTGATATTATAGAAAAATGTAACAAGAATTTACTCTAAGTTTTGCTCTTGAGAGTTGGGATTGTCTCTGTGGAAGTAATGGCTAGGTTGTTCAAATCCTGCTAATGACTGAGGGGAATGCGAATGTCAACACACATTTCTGTACTTTCGTTATCAACCTTAAACTTTTATGTTTACCTGGGTCTGTTGAAAGAAGAAAAAAAGAAAAAAAAATACAACTGAAGTCTGATTCACATTTTCAGCCTACCCAGGTATTTTTATTAAAATGCTTATTTATAAAATATTTTACATTGTTAAGAGTTGGCTAAATGAGCCCATATTCTGTCTCATTGAATATAAATTCCTGTTGTCTTTGCAAGCATTGTAAAAATGATGAGAGACAAGGGAATCTTCAATATTATAAAATCTCCAAAGAACTGTTTTTGAACACTTTTACTCCCTAGAAACACAACAAAATTGAGTGTTTAACAACTTGATGTATGCAGGAAGAAATCTTAAATTATAAACAAGATCCCAAGCATGCAAGTCATATATGCATACATTCCTTCTCTGGTGGAGAGATGCTCCATTTATAAGGAAGCCTTTCACTTTAGAAGTATAGGCCTATGCAGGCCTTTTACACATTTTCCAATGTCTTTTTCTTTCTTGTTTTGTTTGTTTGTAATCTCTGGAAAGCTGTAGCTGCCCTTCTCTAAGCTGCCCTTCTCTAAGCCTAACATTAATCATTATTTCAGTAGTTGTCCTGTCTTTCGTGTATACAATTAAGGTATTTTGATAATAATTTAAACTTTCCCTTTTAGAGTGTTTCAGTTTTGCAATTTTACTAATATTGAAAGTGAAACATGCTGCCTTTTTATGTTATTTTTTGCCTACTGTCATTATAATGTGAACATCAATAAAGAAGTTGAATTAAAAACGGAGGAATGAGCTAGGATTGTTTACCCCAGGGAAGAGAAGCCTTAGGGGGAATCTTACCTATATGTATACATACCTGATGGAAAGGAGTGAAGAAACAGCAGCTAAATACTTCTCAGTGGTATCCAGTGATAGCACACAAAGTACAAGAAATTCCATTGAAACATGTCTAAAAGCTGCTTTCCTGAGAGAGCTGTTAGACACTGGAAGAGGTTGCCCTGTGGAGTTGTTGTGGAGTGTCCATCCTTGGTAATGCTCAAAACCCAAATATAGACAGCCCTCAGCAGACTGCTGTAGGTGACCCTGCTCTCCATGGGGTGTTTGGACCAGGTACTTTCCAGAGGTTCCTTCCATCCGCAGTTACTCCGTGATTCTAAGGAGATGGGCTGTAGTGTGTTTTCTAGACACATTTAATTAGAAGTTGTGGTAGAAGACAATTAATTGGCAATTTTGGCACTTTTAACAGCATCTATAGATCAAAAGATTGCAGAGTATGTAAGTCACCCTCATCTAGAGAACAGAACATAGTGGGAGAGAACAAGAAGGAAAAGAGTAAAGGTTGTTAGAGAGCACTAGATTTATTTAAGGTTCTGCATCCTTACTCCATAAGCACAATGAATTACTCCCATAAGTGAGGAATTAGTAATTTAAGATCCTGTTCAGTGCGTATTTCTTCTCTTAGTTAAATGAAT